CTAGCTCACTCACCTCGAGTCGTCCCTCGTTGGCTGGGGAGCCGGCTGCGGAGAGGATGCGCAGCGTGCCCTTGGCGGGTGTCTTGGCGGGCGGGTTGTTGGTGCGCAGGACCGCCACGTCAAAGATGTGGTTGGCGCAGCGGTCGACGGGCTTGTCGTCGAAGGTGCACTTGAGGAAGCTCTCCTCGTCGCCCTTGCAGTGGATGCCGCCCATGGCCACGGGATAGCCGGCCTCGGCGCAGTAGTACTCCCCCTCGACGTCATGACAGCCACGGGGCGGCAGCAGGCCGTGTGTGTAGCCCATCTCCCGGCACGCCTTCCGGGCACTCGCCTCCGTGAACTCGCCCAAAGAACCGACCCCACAGACAGAACCCCACACACCGTCACGACGGACCTGCACACACAATGCCGCAGACAGAGTGATGTATTGTGTGCGGCTGCGTGTGGTTGGTGTGGTTGCAAACCTCAAGGCGCCCGACAGCAGAGAGTTGTCCGTCAGCGTCGACGACTCGGACGTCCTTGTCGATGTCATCGATGCTGTCGGCTCGGTAGACATAGAAGGCCTCACCCTCCCGCTGACCCGCACCCGGCACATACTGACAGACACACACACAACACAACACACATCCATCCATCCACGGCGGGCGCATGTGTGTGTGTGAGGTGAGTGGTTGGCTGACCTCTTCAGCGAGTATGCCGCTGGCGGGGTTGTCGGTCTTGTAGTATGCTGGGAGGCCGTCCTTGACGACCGTGACGATGAGAGTGGCGCCGCTGGGCCACATGACGCCGTCGTGGAGGGCCGCACCGCAGATGGACGAGGAGGCCGGATGGACGCCCGAGCCCAACACAAACTGCGCCTCGTCGGCCTGACAGTTGGACGGACACAAAACCTGACCGACAGACACAACACATGCATGACACACGCAGAGAGATCCATCAGATCAGTCAGTCCATCTGTGTGTGTGTGTGTGTGTCGGGCAGGCAGAGGCAGGTGTGGTCACTTTGATCATGTTGGGTGTGCTGCTGCTCGTGGCACCGATGAGGATGGGGTCGTTGAGTCGAGTCCGGCAGCTGATGTGCATCAGCGGCAGCTCGCCGCCGGCCTCCTCGCCCAGCCCCACCTCTGCCGTCGTCGGATACGGTGTGCCGATCCATCGCCGGACGTGGAAGCTCACGGCACTGCCGTCCTGGCGCTTGAGCTTGAGACTGTCACAGAAGCAGGGGTCGTCTGCGGCCGTGTTGGTGAGGCGGATGGCCTTGATCTTGCCCACACTGGCCGCCCGGATGCGCACGTGAGCAGACGTGCCGGGGAAGAGGCCCGTCTTGAGGTGCTTGCTGCCGGTAGACCGACCCTGGCCGATGATGCTCAGCTCGATGCTGCCCTGTGTACCCGCTGCACACACGCACAGAGAGAGACAGAGAGGCAAATGCACTCATTCCTTCATGGGTGGTGTGTGTTGTGTGTGTGTGGCTGACCTTTGTCGTCTCCGTCCGTTTCGATGGTGACCTCGTAGGGCTCACTCCCACTCAACGTGTACTCCTGACCACAACACACACACAAATATGGTGCGCATGGCCATGACAGAGCCACAGCACGGATGCGTTAGTTACGGCTGATGGTGATGCGGCGGAGAGTTCGTCGGTGCAGCCGAACTGGAACCATCGGTAGTAGCTGAAGACGGTGATGGTCTTGCACCGCCAGTGAGCCGCCTTGTCTTTGCTGTCGCTCCGCACAATCACCGCCTCCAGCGGCCCAACATCAGCCGCACTCGTCTGCACCCGACGCTTGGTGCCGCCCTCCTCACCTTGACACACACCCATCACACAGGCAGACAGTGAGCGGCCGAGTGAAAGACTGTCATTGTGTGTGTCATTCTTACTTGCGATTCGGATGTCTTGTGTTGTTCCTTCAGTGCCGACGAGTTTGAGGAACACGTCACTGGAAGGGTCGAGGTTCGGGCCACTCACCGCCTTGACCTCGATGGTCACGGGATTGCCACCGTCAGACGCGCAGAAGCCCCAGCCAGGTGAACCCTCCTCAGCCGAAGCCTCACACCTGTGTGGTGAAAGAGTGTGTGATGGACTGACGGACTGAGTGAGTGACCGACTGAGTGAGTGTTGAGCTTAGTTGACTCACCACTCACGGCCCTCCTCGGCCTCTTGGGCAGCCGCACGAGTGACCCATGGATAGAGCCATCAGCCGAGCCAGCTGCGCCCCCTGTCTGGCCTTCAGAGCACCCATCCTCTCCGTGTGAGTCGCCGACGCGTTAGTGATGTCATCCGCAACCCTCTCTATGCTCGTCGGCGCGATAAACTGGCCTGGGGCGGTGACGTCTTCTCTAGCACGCTGAGCAATGGCCTCGAGACCGCCCGCGGAAGCCGTCTGCTCTTCTGATAGCTTCTCGGACAGCTGCCGCAGATTCGATTCTCTTTTTGGTGATATCTCCCCTCGCGTGGAGAGATACCGCGTGGGGAGATATCACCTTCCGACTCATCCTCACTGGGGATCTGCCTTGCCTGGGTCACCAGCAGATCCCTTAATAATCGGCACCCTCGACGTCATCCATCGCCACATCCGCCTCGTCAACACCGTCAGCACCATCACTCATGCCCACACTTGGCCGACGGGTCGCTGGCCGATGTGCTTGGCAGCTGCCAGCCGCAGACACCTGCCGACGGCAGACAAGTAGCTGAAGTGCTGCTCGAACACCTCTCGCTGCTCCAGCGTTGCGCTCCCACACTTCCCACAGTGCATCCATCCTTCAGACACAAGTGTGCCCCATGTGCCGGGCAGAGCGCCATAATGCCGGGCAGAGCAGCAAAAAGCCCTTCGGGCCATGAGCACGAAGAATACTCTTGAGGGCCGCCGATAGCCTCTGCCGCTGCTGCTGCATATCCGTTGGGGCACAGGCTGGAATGACACGCTGGTTCATGAGGCTTTCCCATGCTGCGACAGACAAACTCCTTCCGGTCGTCAGGGAATCGGACGCCATTTCGTGGCCTTCCCATACAGCAAGACCCTCCCAAAGACGAGATACAAGCACCCGTGCAGAGATAGCTTGCTGCGCGACAACAGCCACAGGCCGCCACCCGCTCGGGTGAGGTCTTCTTAGACTCTTCAGATCTGTCTTCGGGAGCACTTGATCTGCGACCTCTCACGGAAGATCTCGAGGAAGTCTTCAACACACACATACCCGTCAGTGCATCTGTGTTCGAATCGCTTAAAGAACGCGTCACATTCATGAGATGCTTGGACGATCTGAGCGCGCAGCCGGTTTTGATTCATGCCGCGGCGACGGGGCAGCTGCCACAGTAGTCTCCGTACCCAGGAGCATGGCGGCCACGCGTTGGAAAGCACCATTTGATCTTTTCTCTCAGAAAACGCGTGGTCACACGCCAGAGAGGTGGCGACCTGTGGAGTGACATGGCCCTCAATCACTCGTGTGAGAGGGGAAGCCTCTTGGAAATTGCGGTGGGAACTGCGGTGGCCGCCAGACACCCCCTTTTGTGAGGGCGGTTTGTGCCGTCAGCGCACCCCACACATACACAGGAAGGCCATCCAAGGCCTTTATTCTATCCCCCCAGAGTCCCTTGCTTGTGTCTTACAGGCTCACAAACAGAAATCCACCGACTAAATTGCGATAGCCTGTCGGTCGAGGACTTTGAGCCCCGTGGAGACCTCAACCCCTAGCTGGGGGTAGGCAAATGAAGTAGTGGGGAAGCCAAGCTAGGGACCTTTGCCTTTAAAGGCAGAAAGGGGTGTCATCAATACACCCCCAACACTGAAATGCCTTCTGTGTCGCTGCAGGCTTGACGCAATGTACCCAATATGTATGTGTACCCAATGAGGCGAGAGTCGACCCATCAGCCGGATGTGCCACTCGCCCGTGTGCCTCTGTCATCGAGGAGCGAGTGAGAAATGGCGAGTGGCGCTGATACGTGCCGCTCAGTAGATACATGTAGGCTAGTCAGACTAATTAAGTGCAGCACTTTTAGCAGCTGGTGAATTCAATGCATAATTCACTTCAACCATGAATGCACTCAATTGTCTGTCCATTCCTAGTGTGTGTGTTGTGAGTCAGTCGTCTCATTCATCCATCCGTACATCCATCCATCCATGCACTCAGTCAGCCATGCTGTCTCTTTCACATCAGATCAGCGGAGTCGAAAGGCCAAGTACAGACACAAGCATCACACAACACACACATGCACCCACCTCATTGATATGTCTGTCTGTCTGGTTTGTGTGTGTGAGTACTTACCGTCGTCGGGTTGGCTTTGATGCATGCGTGTGTGCACTCGGAGTGGAGGGCGGTGTCGTGGGCAGGCGCGTGCACACCGCAGCAGCTGTCGCAGTAGGCACCCATGTCGCTGTCGCACGCCGTCACCTCCTCGCCCTCACCAGACACACTGCCGAACAAACGCATCGCCACCGACTGCACAAACCGGGGGCCTATCGACAAGGCGGGGGTGGTGGTGCTGGTGGTGGGGGGCTGGGCAAGCAGAGCGTGGCATGCCTTGCGGCGCTCAGACAAGAGGGCCGTCTGAGTGCACACCCTCCACCTGCAAACACACACATTCACACACATGGCCATCGAGTGTGTGTGTGTGTTGGGGTCAGTGACCTTTTGCCTCCGGCGAGTTGTGTGTGTGCGGATGGGTTGACCATGATGGCCTTGAAGTAGACTGGCTGGGGGCCTGATGCCGCCACGCCGACAGTGCCGAGTGCTGGTGCGGCGCTGGCGGACGAGGACGGGTCGGTGAAGGACAGGAGCGGCTGCAACTCGTGGCTGCCCTCCCGACCCAAATACACCTTCGACACACACATACACACAGACACACACAGACATCACGGCAGATGGGCGTGTGTGTGTGTGTGTGACCTTGATGTGGTGGTCGGTGTTGTCGATTCGGATGTGATACCACCTGTTGAACTGAAACTGATACGCCACAGACGCACCCTGACACACACACACACACACACCCCACATGCATTGGTTGGTGTGCGTGTGTCAGTCAGGTTGCTCACGGCGTTGTAAGTGGTGCCGTGTGCGGTACTCTGGAGTGTCCACTGCCCGTGGCCGTTGCGCTTGACCTCCGCCCACAACACAAAGTAGTTTGCCGCATCCTGCCAGCCGACCAACAGACCTGCCTTCGACGGACCTGTTAATGCACACACACACACACACACACAGAGGGAGCCATCCACAGCTGAGCTGTGGTATGTCCATCCATCCATCCATCCATCCATCGACCCACCGGTCATGAGCAGCGACGCAGCCATGAGGTAGTCGTCGCAGTTGAACTCCTTTAGCGTCAGCATGGTGTTGCCGACAGATATCACACGCTCACTCGCATTGGCCGGACCTGCACACTCACACACACACAAGTGCGTGTGTGTGTGTGTTGTCATTCTCTCCCTCAGTCACTCACTTGGCATGACGGCGAGTTGGACATCCCGAGCGGCCCGTGGAGTGTGCTGCTGGAGCTGTGCGAGCATCTCTGTGGCGTCTGAGGTGAGCCCGACTGAGCGGCAACGAACGGCAGAAGTGGGCTGGAAGGCGAAGGCGCGAAGGAAGACGGTGTCGTCTTTGCTGTCGATGCCGTTGGCGGATGTGCCGTTGAAGGCTGGCTGCTCGGCCAAGACGCCCACCTCCACCTCACCGCCGCCGTCAGTCAACACACCAGCATGCTAACCAAACACACACACACACACACAGACATGCAATTGTGTTTGTGTTTGTGTGTGGGGGCAGACTTACGATGGCTGCCTTGCAGACGGATGACTTTGGGCTGTAGACATTGTCGCTGCCGTACACTCGTTTGTCGGCGGTGGTGCAGTGGGACGGGCAGACGACGAGCAGTTTGTCGCCCACGGCCATGCTGAGAATGAAGGTGGCGTCGTCGGTGCACGTGAGTGTCTTGGCGGGTGGCGCGGCGCAAACGGCGAAGCTCCTCAGGCTGAAGCCGTCTGTCCGCTCGAGAGACAGAATGCCCCCACCCACACTCGACGGATACGACGAACGGCTGCACACACACATACAGGGACGGAGACAACATACACGCGTGCATCCATCACATCTATCTCCCTCTCTGTGTGTGTGAGTGTGTGTCTGACCCTCGTTTGAGTACGATGAGGACCTCTCCGCCCTGCAAGTCGTTGAGCTGTCCGCTGTGGACGGCCGCCAGACACATGCTGCTGTCGTCCGTGTAGACCTTCGAGCCATACACGGCATGCTGCTGCTCGTGTCCGACACACTTGGGGGGCACTTGACCCGTATCCTCATGCCGAGCTCGCCGCTGATGTGCTTGGAGGCCAGAGTGTCGCCGCATGTCAGAGTCGTGGCGGGGGCGGTGGGCAGGTGTGACGTCATGAGGGCGGGAGGGGGCGGGGACGTCTTGCAGGGCGATGTGCAGAGACGGCCGTCTGTCGTGTGTCGGCGGGAGGTGCCCACACCGCCGAAGGGATGCTCAAACGACATGTCCATGTCCTGACACACACACACACACACACACACAGAGAGAGAGAGAGAATGTGTGATGTGATGTGGCTGATGCGCTCCCACGTGTGGTCAGTCAGTCACCTTGTTGACGTCGTCTTGTGAGAGGACATAGTCGTATATGTGGACGGCCGTGATGTCGCCACTGAAGTACTCGCTGTCCGAATCGCTCAGGCGGCCGATGGCCAGCCGGGTGGTCAGCTCGAAGTCGAAGTCGGTGGCCTTGGCCGCCACTCGACGGCCGTTGACGTACATGGCCACATACTTCTCTGCATGGTTAGTTAACCACATGGACACACAGACACGTGTGTGTGTGAGTGTGTGTGTGTGTGTGTGTGGATTGTGGTTGACCTGGTTGGAAGTAGGTGACGGCCATGTGGACCCACTGGTCCTTTGTGACGCGGCTGCCCGACGTCACGCCGGGCGATGGGCTGCAGATCTGGTCGAACACCAGCTCGTCGTTCTCACCCACACTCAAGCTGAAGCCGTTGCACTGGCTGTGGCTCAGGATCGCTCGGTGTGTGTGCTCGCCGCCCGATACACGCACACGGCACGAAACCGAGAAGCTCGTCAGCCCACGCACCTTGTCAGCACCTGACGCAAACACACACACACACACACATGAGGCAGTGGAGTGTCGTTGGCTGTGTGTGTTGTGTCGGGGTGAGGGTACCTACCCGGCAGCTCGCTGGCGTCGATCCAGTTGTCGCCATTGAATCCGTGCCAGCCGACGGGCGCGTACCACGAGAAGACGGGCGGGTGCGGCAGAGCGGTGGGTGCAGCGGCAGACGTGGCACTGACCTCCATGAAGGACGTGGCCATCGTGGCTGTGCTTGTGGTGGGAGGGGGGACGCCCACGCCGGCATAGTGCGGCTGCTTGGGCTCGGCAAGGCGAGCCAGCACGTTCGGCGTCGGGCGTGAGACGACAAAGCTCTTGCTGCCGTCGACGTCGGCCGACACAGAAGTGATGTCGCCTCGCTTAGTGCCTGCATCCACGACACACATCCACACACACAGTCCACGAGTGTGTGGTTTGGGTGGTGTGTGTGAGGCAGACTGACTGACCGGTGTAGTGCTTGATGGGATGCGTGAGGGTGACGGTAACGTCGCCGCCGCCGTCGCCAATGACGCCAGCATGGACGGCAGCCTTGCAGACAGGGGAGGCCTCGCTGTAGATGAGCGTCCCCACCACTTGGCCCCCTGCATCACTGCACCCACCCTCACACGTCGCCACCACTGTGGTGCCCACCAACCCACCGCCGCCAAGCTGCATCAACACACACACATAATCACATATCACATGCACTCCCTCTCTCTCTCTCTGCGTGTGTGTGTACTTACCTTGCTGGCGATGGTGTCGGAGCAAGTGAGTTTTGTCTTGGGGGGGAAGGAGTAGTGGACGAATGTGGGCGGGGGGTCTTTCTGGTGCAGTCCGCTGCCCGAGGGATCGCCGTTGTCGCCCTCACACGACACGACAACGTCTTCGTCGTGGGAGCAGTAGATGTCGCTGCCCGTCGTCTGACAGATCAATGGACCGATGGACAGACACAAATGAATGCATTCGTGTCGTCATGTCTTGTGTTGTGTCGTCTTGTGTGTGTGTGATGTCCACGTAATTACGTATGGGCATTGGAGGAGTTGTGATTCGCTGCCGTCGCAGAGGACGTTCGTCAGACCAATCCTGAACCCACACACACACAGATGCCACACACACACACACACACATCTGTCTGTGTGTCGGTGAGTGGTGTATTGACCTCGTGCTGGCGGGTCCGCAGACGTTCACTCCTTTGTAGTCGGTGCAGCTTTCTTTGTGTGCGCCGCCCCTGGCTGCCCCCGCATAGCCCATCTGGATGCAGGCGATGCGCTCACTCGCGGCCGTCCAGTTGTCGTCGCACACTGTCGACCACCGCTTGGACGGGTCCCGGCTCGGCAGATACACCTACACACACACGCACACACATGGAGATGGGTGACATATCATGAATGTGTGTGTGTGATGTCACCCACGACAGGACCTCACTAGCTCTCTCACCTCCAGTCGTCCCTCGCAGGCGGGGGCGCCGGCTGCGGAGAGGATGCGCAGCGTGCCCTTGGCGGGTGTCTTGGCGGGCGGGTTGTTGGTGCACATGACGGCCACGTCAAAGATGTGGTTGGCGCAGCGGTCGACGGGCTTGTCGTCGAAGGTGCACTTGAGGAAGCTCTCCTCGTCGCCCTTGCAGTGGATGCCGCCCATGGCCACGGGATAGCCGGCCTCGGCGCAGTAGTACTCCCCTTCGACGTCATGACAGCCACGGGGCGGCAGCAGGCCGTGTGTGTAGCCCATCTCCCGACACGCCTTCCGGGCACTCGCCTCCGTGAACTCGCCCAGCGTCCCGACTCCGCAGACAGAACCCCACACACCGTCACGACGGACCTGCACACACACACACACACACACACGCACACAGACAGAGTCAGGTATTGTCTGCGGCTGCGTGTGGTTGGTGTGGGTGCTAACCTCAAGGCGCCCGACAGCAGAGAGTTGTCCGTCAGCGTCGACGACTCGGACGTCCTTGTCGATGTCATCGATGCTGTCGGCGCGGTACACATAGAAGGCCTCGGGACTGCTCTCCTGCTGACCCGCACCTGGCACATACTGACAGACATACACACATAACAACACACATCCATCCATCCATCCACGGCGGATGTGTGTGTGTGAGTGAGGTGGTTGGTCAGCTGACCTCTTCAGCGAGTATGCCGCTGGCGGGGTTGTCGGTCTTGTAGTATGCTGGGAGGCCGTCCTTGACGACCGTGACGATGAGAGTGGCTCCGCTGGGCGACATAACGCCGTCGTGGAGGGCCGCACCGCAGATGGACGAGGAGGCCGGATGGACGCCCGAGCCCATCACAAACTGCGCCTCGTCGGCCTGACAGTTGGACGGACACAAAACCTGACCGACAGACACAACACATGCATGACACACACAGAGAGATCCATCTGTGTGTGTGTGTCGGGCAGGTGTGGTTACTTTGATCATGTTGGGGCCCTCTGTGCTGCTCGTGGCACCGATGAGGATGGGGTCGTTGAGTCGAGTCCGGCAGCTGATGTGCATCAGCGGCAGCTCGCCGCCGGCCTCCTCGCCCAGCCCCACCTCTGCCGTCGTCGGGTACGGTGTGCCGATCCATCGCCGCACGCGGAAGCTCACGGCACTGCCGTCCTGGCGCTTGAGCTTGAGACTGTCGCAGAAGCAGGGGTCGTCTGCTGCCGTGTTGGTGAGGCGGATGGCCTTGATCTTGCCCACACTGGCCGCCCGGATGCGCACGTGAGCAGACGTGCCGGGGAAGAGGCCCGTCTTGAGGTGCTTGCTGCCGGTAGACCGACCCTGGCCGATGATGCTCAGCTCGATGCTGCCCTGGGTACCCGCTGCACACACAGAGAGAGAGAGAGACAGAGAGGGAAGTGCACTCATTCCCTCATGTGTTGTGTTGTGTTGTGTGTGTGTGGCTGACCTTTGTCGTCTCCGCCCGTTTCGATGGTGACCTCATAGGGCTCACTCCCACTCAACGTGTACTCCTGACCACAACACACATACAAATATGGTGCGCATGGCCATGACAGAGCCACAGCAGGGATGAGTTACGTACGGCTGATGGTGATGCGGCGGAGAGTTCGTCGGTGCAGCCGAACTGGTACCATCGGTAGTAGCTGAAGACGGTGATGGTCTTGCACCTCCAGTGAGCCGCCTTGTCTTTGCTGTCGCTCCGCACAATCACCGCCTCCAGCGGCCCAACATCAGCCGCACTCGTCTGCACCCGACGCTTGGTGCCGCCCTCCTCACCTTGACACACATCCATCACACAGGCAGACAGTGAGCGGCCGAGTGAAAGACTGTCATTGTGTGTGTCATTCTTACTTGCGATTCGGATGTCTTGTGTTGTTCCTTCGGTGCCAACGAGCTTGACGAACACGTCACTGGAAGGGTCGAGGTTCGGGCCACTCACCGCCTTGACCTCGATGGTCACGGGATTGCCACCGTCAGACGCGCAGAAGCCCCAGCCAGGTGAACCCTCCTCAGCCGAAGCCTCACACCTGTGTGGTGAAAGAGTGTGTGAGTGACTGACTGAGTGAGTGTTGAGCTTAGTTGACTCACCACTCACGTCCCTCCTCCTCGGCCTCTTGGGCAGCCGCACTAGTGACAAGCACCGCCAGCAGAGTGATGAGCCAAACACGCCGCACGCGAGTCATCATCGCCGCTTGTGACTGTCCTCAAAGAAGAGCAAGTGAGAGAGACTCAGAGAAAAGCGTTTTTCAAACACGGAATGAGAAAAGCAAGCGAAGAAGCGAGCCAAAGCGTAAATGTGAAAATGTATCCGATCGCGTCCAAGCGTTTGCTTCGATACAACGCCACCAAGTGAGTGTTCACGCCAACGCAGACACATGATGCATATGCATGTCCTCACACAAACAGAGAGAGACGAATAAATAGCTGTTACAGCACATTCACGCAATGCATGGCACGTCACACGCATCACTTCACTGCTCATGTCAATGACCACTTGCTCACCCACACGGCGGCCTCACGATAGTGACACATCACATCATTCACACAAACTTGACGTGCTACATCAGGGTGTCTTTTTTGTCGAACGACCACAGATATGACGCTATGGGCGCCAGGCAGAAGGAGGGCACCACCCGACCCACCGGCGAAAAAGATGCGGGGTCAAACGACAGAGCTGGCTCCTCCTTGCCTTGACCCTCTCCCTCTGGCTTGCCTCCGCCCGTCCTCCTGTCTGCCTCCCGTGCGATGAGCTCTCCCGCCCCGATGCACGTCTTCCACCCGTTGAAGCCCGGACCCACATTCACATACACATTGCGCGTCGACGGCACATGGCCCGTCAAAATCACGCCATCCGACACGAATGGCCTGAAGCCCGTCCGACAGTGTGCCTCGTCCACGAGTTTGCGCAGCTTTGGGAAGAAGAGCACGGCCCGCTCCTTGAGTGCGTGCACCACCTGCCTGTCGGGCCTGGAGTTCCAGCCGGCAAACTCTCCCATGCTGGCGATGCGCAGCTGGTCGCCCAGACGGGAGAAGTAGAGGACCTTGTCGGGGCTGATGACGATGCCCTGAGGCAAAGCCGACTCGGGCGGCCGCGCTGGCGACTCCTTCGGCGGCAGGTCGATGATCAGGCTGTAGCCCTTCATCGGGTACACGGGCGCGTACAGGCCAAGCTTGGCGAAGAGGCGGGCCGTCCAGCCGCCGGCAGCGATGACGACGGGTGTATGCTCGTCGACATCGATGTCGCCCTCGTTGGTCTTGATCGTCTTGACCTCCAGATTGCCGTTCCACACACTCCCTGACGTGACAAAGCCCATCACCTACAAAAAACGGACAAGCATCACAGACAACGAATGGATGACGCACAGAATGAGCAGCGATCGTGTGACATGTGACTTGTGCACTGACAGTAGTCTACGTGCCACTGCTCACTCACCCGTGTGTCGGTCTTGACAGTCACTTTGCCGCCTGCGTGGCTGGCGTCCCTGCCCATCTTCTCCACGCACACCTGGCCCAGCTGCTGAGTGAACCTTCGGCTGTCGCCCATGCGCGACTCGGTCTCGACGAGCGCCCCCGCCGGCTCGAAGACCATCTGTCGCAGGCATGGCTCCCTACTGGCCACCTTGTTGAGCTCCATGACGGTCCGCGGCTCCTTGGACGCCTTGGCGAATCCCTGCGGATGCGCCGCCACCTCCTGGCGGGCCTTCTCGAGCTCGTCTGGCGTGTAGATGACGAACGCAGCGCCGGTGCTCGCGTGGCCGACGTTCAGGTGCTCCTTGTGGATGGCGTGTGAGGTGAGGTCGATGGCCCACTCGGTGAAGCTGAGCATGTCCTTCTGGCGCGTCTTGAGCCTCTCCAAGGGCAGGAAGCTTGTGGCCGTGAACTGCGTCAGCCACCAGTAGAAGTGAGGGTCCCACAGAGCGCGTGAACGCAGCCGAAAGAAGTTGAAGGGCTCCTGCAGACGCTTCAAGTTGGCCGCTGGGTCCACCAGAGCCTTCTCAAAGGCCTCCTTCTCCTTGCGGGCAGTCTCCTCCCTTCCTTGAGCACCAGCAAAGTAGTGCCGTATCTGTGTCGGGGCCGCTGCCAGGCGGTCAGTGATGCCGCTTTTGATGAACATCTGCACAGTCTTGGCCCATTCCTTTGGTCCCATGATGACGTTCACGCGCTGCATGCCTCCTGCCGACACAGCACTGGCAGATCCATCAGCTGCCGTGAGCAATGGCGCCGCCTCGATCACCGACACGTCAAAGCCCCTCTTGGACAGCTGATAGGCCGTCGATATGCCCACCACGCCTCCGCCAACGATGATTGCCTGGCGCCTGGCGATTGCGTCCCTTGCTGCGCTCTGCGAACGGGCCGGCTGATGGCGAGATGAGGAGAGGTAGAAGGTAGCTGCCGCGCAAGTACCGCCAAAAGCAGCCGACGTGCACAGCTTGGACCACATGACGCCGAACTTGGAAGCCGCTTCCGTCCCAACTCGCCGAAGGGTTCAAAAAAACCTGCAAAAGCTAAGCTCGCAGACGCTGGCGGCCTCTCCCTTCCCTCCTCGACGCGAACGAGCCTGCTGCAAGCCTTTTGACCCATTTCACAAAGTGAAGTGGTCTGCTAATGAAGCTGTGTTATGCCGGTGTGCTGGTGGCTCTGATCTGCGAGTCCATTGCTGCATTCACGCCTTCTTTCTCACCAGCAGCCCTCGTACGGACCGGCAGCAGCAGGCATCTTACTCTCTCACGATGGCGGACTGCCCTCATGTCTGAATCCAGCAGCTCTGACAAGCCAGCATCAGCTGTGGACACGGCCGAGAAGGCGTCTTCTTCAGATTCTGCCAAGGGCGGCGATGAGGAGCCGTCCACTGTTGAGATGCTTCGGAAGGCGAGGGACGTCGATGGCCTGTCCGCCAAGGAGATTGAGAACAGAGCCATGCAGGAAAACATTGCCAGTAAGACATCAAGCAACAGAGGGAGGGAGGGACGGAGGGCCGCGAAGGGGTCTTTTCAGCAGCAAGGCAATCATTCATCTGTGTGTGTGTATTGGCAGTGTTCCAGAGGACGCAGCAGGACCAAGCCCAGAATAGCGCACAAGACGACAAGTCATGGCTGGACTTCCCTCTCCCCGTCCCCGTGGCTCTCCTCACATGCGTCATCACGTCCATCGCCTTCATCGGCTGCTTATACGAGCTCTTCTACCCGGAGAAGTTCCGCACGGCCGGCCCGGTACTTGGCGTCGGCGGCACCTGGGCCGTGATGCTTTCTTCGCTCCCGGCATCGGCTTTTCTCTTGTATTTCGCCATCAACAAGGCCAATCGAGATTTGGAGAAAGAGAAGAGAAGCGGAGGGGGGTTCTACTAGCCGGCATGTTTGCCCGTTTGCCTGTCGTTGGTGTGGTTGCTGATTGATTGCATTGAGACGATGCAATTCGCATGGGTCTGGGAGGGTGGATGTTGGAGAGACCGACTCGAAATAAATGGTTGATGGCATGAGTCTGGCCGATGACACATCGATTACATGGCAGCTTCCTCTCTGTGTCATGCATCGCATGCGTCAGTCCGACATACACGTAGGCAGGCAGGCAGGCAGGCACGAGAGAGAGGCAGCAAAACGTTCGGTAAAACATCACACGCACAGACGCACAGGCAGGTCCAAAACGTACAACACGAATAACACGAAATGTAGGACATGTGCACACGCACAGTCGGATGTGATGTGTTGGTATGGTCGATGTAATTGGCACACACAGGAGGCTCACGAGACGAAAAACAGACGCCTCACCTCAGTCATGCTCATTCTCTTTCCTACACACACACACACACATTCACACACGCGCACGTCTCATCAGCCACACGAGGCAGCGTGCAGGAGGCATCAGACCTGAATTGAATGTATATCCAGAAACAGATCTCTCATCATAGTGCATTTGATTGCATGAATGGAAAAAGACCGATAAAGTCAGTCAATGTGTCACTAGGTAGGTCATGTTGCCCTGGGTGTGGTGAAAGCCGATCCGAATGTGCTCGGACACGCAGAGATGACGCTCGGCGAGTGCAGGATGGATACAATGCTCCCTCGCCTCAGCACGTCATGGTGCGCCTTGATAGCGCTCACCGCGACCGACAGGAACAGCACACAGCATCCAACAATCGCCACTGTGTCAGGCACCACATGTAGAAATATCACCTGCAACGCGCGAGCCACATGCCGGCAGATCTGCCAATCGTTGCCTGCCTGCCTGCCTGCCTAACTCGCTAACCTGTAGAATGAGGGCGAAAACAACGTCCAGCGAACGGCATACGACCGCCACAGATGCCTTGACCAGCTGTGCGCCGATGTTGACGAGTATGCCCGCTGCGGTGGCAAACGCTGCGATGAGGAACAGGTTGAGCCAGCAGTCCCATCCCTGGGTTGCCGGGTTGACCCACCCCTGGCCCGGCAGTATGGTCAGGAAGGGCGACAAGAGGAGACCGGACAGAGAGAAACTGTTCACCATCTGCCTGCATAACCGATAGACCACAACACAATACCAGATGCACCAATGCACATGCTCTCCTCTCTCTCTCCCTCTCTCTCTCTCTCCTTGGCTTACATGAAGTGGGCGTCCGATCCGACTTTGCGTATGATGCAGCAGGTGGCGCCCTGGAACACAGCGCCCAGCAGCACCAGCGCAGCGCTCAGAAGCTGTATGGGCGTCACGCGATCGAAGTGCAGACTGCCCCAGGACGCCATGAGGACGCCGATGATGGAGCCGAGAGATCCGATGAAGTCGATCAGGCCGTAGGGCTCATTTAGCCAGAACTTGCCGATCAGACCCGCCCACACTGGCGCCGTGAAGAAGAGCACTGCAGTGCACACAGATACACAAACACACGGATGCGTCAAGGCATCACAGCCAGACGTGGGTCATCCATCCATCCATCTGGTACCTGTTGCATATGCGAGTTGCAGTTGTGTGATGCCGAAGTAGAACAGTGCCAGACCGACGCAGTCGACCAGACCCCTGGCCAGCACGCCCCACTTGACGGCCCTGGACGTGCCCGCCGGACAGAAACCCACACGGAGAAAGTAACACGACGAACCTGTAAAGGCAAACTGCTCGCACACACACGCGCGCACAGACACACACCACACCCGACGGACCGACCGACAGTCACCTGGTGCACGGCAGTGCCCATGGAAAGTGGTTGGGTTTGTCTGACCTGCAAGAGGCATCGAACGAAGAGCAGCTCTGCCGCACCGAAGCCCTTCTCAGCCTCGATCTTGACGAACAGACTTGAACCCGCGAAACAGGCGGTACTCGCTGGGTGGGTGTAACACAGCCACACGCACAGATAATAAACACCCAACCTTCGTGTGTGCTGGAAAGTCTGTCTGCGCGCAGTACCTGTACACAGCAATGCTCCCTCGAGCGCACGGTAACGCTGGCGCCTTCGTTCCTTCTTTGTCTTGGGGTGCGCATGGTGGCCATTGAGGAGGGGATCCGCCAGCTGGTCAAACTGGATGACTGCATTGTCGTCACTCAGGAAGGCACGGATGTCGGTATCTTCCTCCACCGAGGCCACCAGCTGCGTCGATGGAGGGCCTGTGCTGCCTGTTGCCAGATCTGCTGGCTCGGACAGCAGACTCGACTCGGTGCTCTTCTGCATGTTCACCGCTGTAGCTCAGCCTCTTATCCACACGCAGATCTCCTTCCTTCCTTCCTCCCTTCCTTTCCAACCTCAGCTCGCAGTCGATCTCCCTCCTGGATTTCCGAAAGGGCAAAGGCACAGTTCATGGTGCGGGACGACGCTATCACTTTCTCGACAATGAGAGATGCTCCAAGACACACCTGACGGGTAGCAACCACATCAATCACACCAGACGACGGCGTGCCATTCACTGTGCTGTTTGGTGTGTGTGTTCTCTTCAGTGCGCCTCCTCCCCGGCGAAGACGATGGCGCGTGAATGAGGGAGGGAGGCCATCAGCACCTGCTGGTGCTGCACTGGAGGCACCCCGGCAAGCTGCCCCTGCTGATGTGGACGACAGGTGGGCGTGGGGGGCCTGGGGGATGACCGACCACAGTTGGAATGGTCTCTGTCTTGCTTGTGTCAGTGCACCGGCACCAGTGTCCCCTGATCGGACCGACCTGTCGCCCTCTCAGTGCCCGATATGTGTAGACACGTACAACGTCCCGTACAAGATACGGATGCGGACCATCTGCTGCCTCAACGACATCTGCTCTGCGTGTGTGCGGGCACTACAGAGACAAAGACAAGTACGGATGCATTGACAAAGAGGATGCCTGCTGCACAGATAGTCTCATCTCGTGTGTTGTGTGATCAGCCCGCGCGTGTGCCGACTCCGGATGACCCCCACCCCGAACCCTTCTCGCGGAGGTGCCCCTTCTGCAGGACACCGGTGCCCAATGATGACTTTGACGACATCATCACCGCTGTGATGGACACTCCGGGGCAGGGAGACCAGCAACCTGGGGCGTCAGGCGAGCCTTCTCACTCTGCTGCTGCTGCTGCTGCTGCTGGGTCGTCGTAGAATGACCTGTCATGGCGACCACTGTGTGTGGGTGTTCTCTCGTTTTCTAGCGGGCGGGATGCTTGTTGGTTCATCTGGAATGTGATGGTGAGCACGTGGCACTTGCCTACCAGAGAGAGATAGAGAGAGATGAGATGAGATGAGACGAGATGAGATGAAATGAGGCGAAAAGACGGAGAAGAGAGCCATTGTGGTCGAGTTGAGGTGTGTCTTGCAGCCGAGATTTCGTCTGATCCCGCTTCGGGAACGCTCTCGTCATGCTAGACAACCCACTGGTACGAGGGTGGGCTGATCTTATGTGACGGGGATGGCCGTCAGCTGGTCCGTGCATGTGTGCATTCTCTCCATTCTCTTGACAGAGAGGACTTGTTCATCTCTCTGTGTTGTAGCTCCGTGACCTGTGACCACGTCGCGCAAGGGCTTCTTTCCTGCGATAGTGCCCGTCGGGAGATGGACAGAACAACCTAAAGAGACCTAAGCATGGCACTGAGGTACTGTAGAGGGGGACGGTGTTTTCTGTGGTGAACGTGTCTCGCGTTGTGTTCCGTTGTGTGTACATGAAGTGTACAGACACCATCTCACCACGCCTTATATGCATTGCTGTCCCAAACTATGTGCGTGGACAGCATGATTGATGCGTGCCTGACCGACGACAAACGCTTCCAAACGAAGATCTGATCTCTTGACGGGAAACTTGCATTAACCGTAACACTCGTCTGTGTGTCCGTAATACTCATAAACATACAGTCCCATGAGCACGCAGAGTCAAACGCTCACGGGGAGGAGGGATGGATCCCCGCCCCATCAGCACACCCCAGTCCCGCAAACCCTCCCCTCCCTCCCCCACGCAGACAGTAGCTAGTCGCATGCGCGAGGGCGATAGACAAGCGAGAGCGAATCCATCCAGACACATGACTGAACCCCAACCCTTCCACCCCTCCTTCTCCAACAGCGCATGAGCCATGTGGGCGATGAACACGTTGGCATCGTGTCCCCACACACCGTCACACGTCACCACCAGAGGGCAGAAGGTCACGCGGGAGTCGCAGACGGCCGAGTGGTATTTCTTCTTCTTGGCGGTCTCGTGCTGCTTCAGGATGGACTTGGTCGATCGGTTCTTGGAAGCATACGACGGTGCGTCAACATCAGTGATGCAGATGTCGAACGACGCAGCCGCCTGCCGCTCCCACACGCCCCGAGCGACGATGTCCGCCCTGACCCCGCCCTCTCCCTCCTCTCCCTCCTTCAACACCACCTCCCGACGCACACCAGCGTCCCCCCACGCCATCCCGATCAGCTCGGCAAAAGTGTCCCGCAGCTCGTTGTGGCGACGAATCACCAGGCCGTACCGCTTGCAGCACAGCGCATGGTCGACGGTGAGGGGCTGGTTAGGGGGGTGACGGCCGTATCGCATGTTGAGGGCATCTCGAAACTCCGCAGCATCAAGACCAGTGTTGTTGTCTGTCGATGGGAGGGTGGTCAGCCAGCCGGACGTCTTGTATTCGGCGCTGCGGGAGAGGACGCAATGGCGCCGGCGGTCGATGTGCGGCAGGGCGGCCTCCCTCTTGGTTTTGTGGGCGACGTCCTGCTGCTGCTTGCTCTTGGTGAGGGCGTGGCGGATGGT